TAAACTCATATGCGTTAATTAAAAACAATAAGCTACAAAAAAAAAAAAAAAAAAAAACAATGATAATTAGTACATCAAAAATCATTAAAACAATAAGCTTGTATACTAAGCATTACTAAAACATTAGGCTCATATGAATTGTTAAAACAATAATTATTTCTTTACTTGCTTGTAAATTATAAGTATTGGAACCATAAATAAAGAATTATAAATACTGATGCTAATATAAAAGTTATTTAAATATAAAAATTCAATTATTACAATTAATTAGCTTTAATAAATTTTAATTACAATCGTAATTGCAACAATAATAACTGTAATATAGTGACAGTAATAATGATAATGATAAATGATTGCGAAAAAAAAAAAGAAAGAAACCTAGAAAGATGATTGGCATCACTTCTTTAAGCTTAATTTGTCTTGATTCAGCAATACAAAACCATCCATTTGGATAAACGGGCGGTATTTTACCGATAAAGCGCATTTTCTTCAATTGTTCCAAAAATGCTCCCCTATATCGTTTATTTATCTAAAGTCAAAATTTGTTTTAAATTAGTTTAAAATTTTAGCAACTTTTTTTCGTAAATTGTTTAAAACTCTTAAAATTCTTTTTTTTTCGTTCAGACTATTAAATAAAGTAAATTATAATATGTGAATTGAACGTCCAAAATTTGTTGTTATTTCAATTTAAATTTGATCGAATTATAATCACTTTCTAAACGTTGAATAGAAGTTTCCAAAAAAAAAAAAAATAAAGATAATAATATCACTAAATAAATTTTTTTGGTGATTAAAAAGAATTCATTCCAAAAAAAGATTTTTTTTAATTTATATTTTTAAGCTAAAATAAAATGCCTTCATTTTGCCTACAAATACACCAACATCACCAAAACGTTTAATTCGATTGAGCGGTTTTGTCATCCAATAGTAAATAAACGCAAATAGTACGCTTAATCCGATACTTAGTAAATAAGTCATCTAAAAAAAAAAAAGGGAAAAAATTGAACACATAAATTATTAGGTTGACAATATTTGAAACGATTCATTATATTACGTGCAATGAAATATAACCATAATTTATTTCAGTTATTAAATTATATGAATTAAATAAAAATAAAATAATATCGAATAATTTTATCATCTCTATATCTAATTTTACTACGAAAAGAATTATTTTCTAAACGACTTTAAACAATTTTTTCAATTTACTGAATATTTATGCGTCTTCAAGAAAAAAATAAATGCGAATATTTTTGGATTCATTAATTTGAATAATTCCAGATCTTTGCTAAATTAAATTTTCCAAATATGATTTTCAAAAAAAAACAATGAAATGAAATATTTTGTAAATTGTATTATATTGATGAAAGCATTAACCGATAGGCGATATTTGGATTAATGAAATTTATAATTCAAAAGTTTTTTCAAAATAAAATTTTCCAATGTAATTTCAAAAAAGAAGCAATAGAAGTGAAATGGAACGTGTTATGACCTATATTGCAGAGAAGGAAGCATAAATATTGATAGCGATTAAGTAGTACTTAAAATAATTAAACAACGAAAATTCAAAGCATTGATAACGATCGTATAATACTTAAAATTGAAAACTGATAATTGGAAGGAATTTGAAATATAAACATAATTGTGGAAAGTATTACAATGAAATAAAATGAAATTATAAACGAAATGATTGGGAAGATGAACAGTACGGAAAATGGTTGTAATGAACGATTTCGAGGTCAATTCGTACGTGACACTAATGTCCATTCAATATTTGCTAGTTTAAAATGTTCATTCCATTTACATCTAACATACATTTTCATCACAATTTCATTATTTTCATTGATTCGATTAATGATAAGGGAATAAAATTGAGAAATCGATAAGGATCAATTAATTAATATCGATTTAATATTAAAGATTTTACTTTTTTTTCTTCTAACCTAAATTTTTTATAACTAATCACAATTGTAACATTTTTATAAACAAAACAAAAATGAAATTGGAATACTTTTTAAAAAAAAATTTATTGATGATAATTAGTTAACATCGATTAAATATAAAAATTTCTTTTTAATTTAATTTAAATCCGCTTATGATTTATTCTAGTTTCCATGTTTCATAAAAATAAAATTGGAATAATGTTTGCAATATTGCTTTTTTTTCCAAATATTTTCAATACTAATTTTTTGGCATTTAATTTAAAAAATAAAAAATTAACTTAAAATGATGATTCACAATGATTAATTAATACCAATTGAATATTAAAATTTTGATTTAAAGTAATCATTCATTTGTAATTAATCACACTCCAATGTTTTTTCATTGGTTATGACAATAAAATTGGATTAATTAGTGGTGATGAATAGTTATTATCAAAATATTGATTTTTTCATTTAATTTAAATATTAATTCAGTCCCAAAAGAGTATTTGTGCAATTTTTATAGATAATATTTCAATACAATTTAAATTTTGATTCCAATTTCAAGCAAAAATATCGATTTCGAAAAAAAATATTGTCAAGATGAAAAAAATTTTAATAAAACTAAGTTGTAAATTTTGCAAACTATTTAGAAATTTCAGCTAAGCATGGTTAGCTTAAAGCAAATCGACTTGTATAATATGCAAATTTAAACATTGTAATTGTAAATTGAACAAAAACGAAATTTTGAAAAGTAAAATAGCAATTTCAAGCGTATCTTTCAAATTTTTATAAAGCTAATATTTGTTAAATTCAAATTATTTCTAGTTTAGGCCAACTTTCATTCTCTTTAAGTGGTCAATCTTTTTTAATCATTGCTATGACTTAACTAAACATTACGGTAATCGTTATGAGCAAAACATTAAACAAATGTTTTTTTTTTTTTTTTCCTTAATATAGTTTCTATCAGTAAAAAGTACGGTGCATATTACATTAATAAAATTGCTTAAAATAAGCGGTAATTAGTTGTAGTAGAAAATAAAAATCCACTTTTCATCAATAAAAAAGTAAAAAAGGTACAAAATGGTAATTTATGACAAACTTCGTAAATATATCAAACAATCATTTAGCAATTAACAATGAAAAAACAAATTCCCACTAAATTAAAAAAAAAAACATAAATTTGTTTAAAATGGTTGGAAATTTATCAGAAATATTACAGAGAAAGAAAAAATTCTAAGTAAATTGTTTGCAGCTTTTTAAATATTCAAATAATTTGCATAAGAAGTGAAAGGAAAAGAAATTTATGAACTGTTGGAAAATTCAGAAAAATTGATTTCAGTTAATCAAATGATTGCAAATATTCATGAATTTTAATTTTTACTCAAAGTAATACTTTTCTGTCAAGAAAGAGTTTGAAAATGGCGAAAGAAATTGATAGAAAATTGGTGACATCATGATTTCAGTAGAATGGAATATAATCGGTTATGCTAGCCTTATCAATTAATCAGGAATTCCAATAATTTGAAATTTGAAATTTGAAAGATGAAAATTATTACCTTTTAAGTTATTTCGTTTATTGTAATTCTCTCTTTCCTTTCATTTAAGCGAAATGTTTTAAAAAATTTTAGCATGACTAAATTTGTAATGAATTAAAATGATGCTTCAGCTAACAACTGGGAAAAATTTGAAATTTATTCAAATTTTAGCTGCTAAAATTGAATGACAATATTCTCACTATTCAAATTAAATTAAATGACAATGTTTTTATGATTCAAATTAATCGAATTCTAAAATTAAATTAGTTTTTTATTGCCATGAAATGCATAAATGCAAATGCATAATCATAGAACAATGTTCTAGTTAAGGATTAACCAAAATTAAAATTTCAGTTTTAAATTCCAACTGAATTAATGAAATAGCAGTATTTTCCTGTTCCATTTATTGCAATCAATATTCTTTTCGCATCATCGTAAAATCATCCTTTTTTTCAAAGAAAAAAAAACAAAACTTTTATTATTTTCAAGTTTTAGAGCAAACATTAGTAAAGTAAAATCATTTTTATTAGCCGTTTTAGGAGGACCAGTTAAAATGAAAGCTAACATATCAATGTAAGCATGATTGCCGAAAGTGAACATTTCATTTATTTACACAATAATATCTTTACAAGTTTGTTTATACCTCTTATTTTGTCGAAAATATAATGATATCATATCATACATATCATTATCACCATTGGATGATACCACATTTTATCATCAAATGATATGATAACCATATATTGCTTATTTATCATCATTATCGTTATT